TCTTTTGTGGCTCACCCCGGGGGTAGGGCAGCTGGGGCCTGCCGCAGCACCTCTCCTTGGCGCTACTGGACCACCCCGGCGGCACCCCAGCTGCTCTGCCCTAGGTGTCCCCGATTCAGCAGCTGGTCAGTTTTAGCAGTGACTGAATCGGGGAACCTGGGGGCAGAGCAGCTCCAATGGTCCGGCTGCCCGGAGCACTTCTGGGTTCCTGATGGTGCCAGACCATCAGGAGTACCGGACCATCAGATGCTGGACCATCGGAGTTTTACTGTACATATTCTTAGATGGTTTTAAAACCTACAGCAGTCATCCTCCTATCTTACATGGGAGAGAGAGATGCAATACAATGTAGACAGACAGACAACTGTGAGAAAAAAATGTGGTGTGTTTAACCTCTGACATATTTCATGTCACTAACTACTTACCTTCCTTCTCTTGATTAAAGTAAGTGACTTGCCCTATGTCGGACTGCAAATGAATGACAGAGCTGTGAACAGAATCCTGGTCACCTCACTCCAGGTACAATTCCTTATCAGAGAGACTATGCTGCGTCATTCTGGCTACATGAAGGATGCTTTTTAAAGGGTCATGCTCAGTTTAACATAACTTACATGTAGTTTTGGATGCCTGCCTGGGAGTCCCTTCACCAATTTTTGTAGTTTTTTCAACCACAATTTCCTTTCCTTGTTGCTATGTAAAAATATGTACACAAACAAAAGACAAGGGAAACCATAAAATGAATATATACATAATAAACATAATGGAAAAAAACAAGAAAATATCTTGTTCTCTATCACAGTAATCTTACTATGTAACAATAGCTATTAAAAAGTCCGATTTTAAGTTGATAGTGCCCCTTTAAATACCCAAGAGGCACTGGAAGTTCTACTCTCCTTTCTGTAGAAAGAAAAGTTGTAAAAGTAGATCCCTTCATGGCAGTACTTATTTAGAAATGTTAGTTGAACAATACCTTTGTTATGTGCACTATTGAGGAATAAGGGTTAATTGCTCAAAAAGCAATACCTAATGGTAAAATATACATTTATATGACTATGTGCTTCTCTGAATTTCTATTTAGGTTCTTATGCTGTTCTCACAGCACAATAGCTGAGCGCCTTTCTTTAATACACTAAGCAATGCTTCCCTTAAACTGTTCTTTAAATTACCACAATGAAATCACAGCCCAGTATTTTGTATTTGCTTAAGGAAAGTGGTAAGGGTGGAGGGAAAGGGGGATATTTGTGAAAGCAAATAAGGAACAAAAATTGGAGATTATCAGAAAGCAATAATCTGTGTACAAGGGAATCCAGGGTAAGGGTGGGCGGGAGAGACTTTACTGAGATTGGGAGGCTTAATTAGTAGATAATGCTCCAGCCTGGCACAAATGGGACCCCATATCTGCTATCAGCCTGGAGTCCTAACTAAAATGAATCTTGATTTCAGCTCTGTGCTCAGGGAACAAAATCTGAATCATTATTTGCCATGATTGGCACTTCTGTGCTCTGCAGACTGAAATCTTCTCTAGTGGATAGAAAGAATAGTCTTTTCAAAGCATAAAATTTGCCATTGACAGGGCACTGTAGGGAAGCTTTATATTGAGGCTGCACAGTGCACAGCTGGATACACACTGTTTATTGGATACATTATTTATGATGAGATTCCCTTCACACAGAGCGAGGAACAAAGTCCCTCTGCTGGGTAGCAGAAACCCACATTCTAGATTTATGACCTCTAGCACCTCCGCATACCATTACAGGCCTGGTTGTTACTTTTATATTGTATTCATGCTGTAATATTGTTTATACATGCAGTATATGAATCAGACAGCATGGTTTATTGGATATGGCACTGGACTGGATGTCAGGCTACACCAATTCTATTTCTACCACTGATTTGCACTGTAACCATTCTGTGCCTCTGTTTCCCCTCCTTTCTTTTCTGGTCTTGTCTATTAGAGCATAAACTTTTCCATGCAATGACTATTTCAGGCAATGACTAGCTCTCACTAGGTTTATGTACAACATTTTGCATAGTGAAACTAAGCTCTCAGCTGAGGCCACTAAGCATTGCTATAGAACAGATAAGAGTTTGGACTTTGTTCATCGGGCACCCTTGGGACCTCACGGGTCCCGAGTGAGGGGATTTGCCAGACCAGGGGAGGTCCCTCCCAACAGGGCCCATGCTGAACTCCTGTCCAGCACTCCTACCTGCCCAGCTGTGGCTCCCCTGGCTGGAGCTCCCTAGCTACTACTGCTCAACCAGAGCTCCACGGCTGGAGCTCCGCAGCTGCTGCCAGACCTGAGCTCCCCAACCAGGACTGAAGCTCCCTAACTGGAGCTCTGTAGCTGCTGCTGACCCCTACCACCTCCAAGCCACAAGGGGCAGAACTCTCAGCTGTGCCACCCACCCCTCTGCAGCCCTGCTCTCATGGGGCTCTCAGCTGAGTCGCCCTTTCCCCCCCCCTTCCCCTTCCACCCCACT